CGCACGCACACTAGCACGTGCCACTCCTGCAGGAGTAAGTGCCTTAATGGTGCTATGCTTCTAAAAAGAGCCCTGCAAAAACAACTCACTTTTGTGTTTAACTTCCTGTATTGAAACCACTCCAGTCACTTCCTTAGAAATATTTTGGTCAGGATAAATCTTTGTTGGGGGATGGGGGTAGGCGGGGCAAGAAGGTCCTCTCCATTATAGGATTTTTAGCAGCATCCTGGGCTATACCATTAGCCCCTACCCCACTTTGTGACAATCAAAAATACTTTCAGACATTGCTGAATGTCTCCTGGAGGGCAAAACTGCCTTTCTGAGAACCACTGATTTAGAAGGAATGGCTAAAAATGTTAATGTTTCATTTGACAGGTTTTCCTAAAATATTTCAGAGATTTAGGAAAGACGTGTCTGAAATAAAATTAGATAGGTAAGAGAATGTTTTCAGTTTTTGTATTATTATTTTTTGAAGATTATGTTTACTTTTTGGATAGACATGTTAGGAAGTGGAGTGAAATCATCCAGGACATTTACAACTAATTTTTTAAATCTACACTGTTAGACACTTTAGAGGAGATAGAGAAAAGAACCCTTCCCATCTCCAACGTATTACCTACCTGTAGAGATGACATGTGCACTTGTTAATATAACACGAAATAATAACTGTATGCCATGTGTACAATAGTTAGTGCTATGAAAGTTGACAGAATAGATCTCTATTGGCTAAATTTGAGAATGATTAGGGACACCTGTGGAAGTAAGTGGAAATTATGATCTTTCCTTTGATTCTCTTTTTCTTCTTGTTGCTATTAATCTTCAAGACACCAGAGAAACACTTTGTGGAATATCTTTATAAATCTTCCCTGAAATCTCACACCAAATCTGAGTCCACAATCTTGAAGTACTTACTATTCACCTAAATTTTGCTTTTACAAGCAACTTTTAAATTCTTAAGTATAGGAGAATCGTTTTGTTCCACCTATATATTCCTATTTACCCTCTTTAATTCAACATTTTAATAAAAGATATGTGTATGGTTAAAGTGTTAAAGTATACAAAGGTATAAAATTAAAAATCTTGTGACCTTTTTCACCCCACACTCCCACTCACCAGAATTAACATACTGTAACCGTTTTGCTTCCAGTATAATTTTAAGTAGCATCTTTTCATTCCTTGATTTACCAATTTTTGACATAACTACTGACTTCCTACCATGGAAGATGGCAAATGTAACTTATACTACTTCTCTCCTCCCCGTTTTTGGTAAATTATTTTTAGTTTTTCTGACCTTGAGGATTTTAAAGTATTTTAACCTCTACTTTTTGATATCTATTTTAGTGAGAATTAACTCAATTATGAAAAATTAACATATTAATGTACTACTTCTATCTCTCATCCTTTCCTCTCCTAATTAACAACAAATTATATTAAAACATGTTTATATAAAGTCATATTACTTTGCCAAGCTTTATTATGTTTGTATTTATAATTGTTTTGTAATTATAATTAACTCTTAGTGCTTTGGGTACAGGTTGATTGTAAGAATTGAAAACTGATAAACAATACTCATAATTTCTTGCTGAGAACCCAACAATGTGACTGGATTTATGCTTAAGAAAGTGAAATCCTATGTTTGTAAAACTTGGCTCCTTAAAGGAGAACGTTTCAGCTCTCAGCTGTTTTTCATTGTCTTCAATTTTTCTGAGTTGGGCTCAATGACCACACTTTTTTTGATTCCCATATTCCCTTCATTTATTCGTTTTCTTTCTGCTGGAGAAACTCCTCAGATAATTATTTAATATAGATCTCATGGGTAGCCAAATTTCTGAATTCTTGCCTGTCTCAAAATTTCTTCATTTTGCCCTCATACTTTATTAATCATATAACCTGGCATAAAAGAATAGGTTTTTAACCATTTTTCCTCAATTATCTGAAGACATTGTTTCATTGCCTTCCAGTATCCAGTGTTGCTGATCAGTCTGATTCTCAAATCTTTCTGATATTTGATTATTTCCTCCTCTTCATTGGGCCTGTTCTTTCCTTTAGAATTCCTCCTGTTTTGTTTTTGTTTTTGTTTTGTTTTAAGCTGAGCCATCCTGCTACCTGTTGGCAGCTCAGCGGCTGCTCAGCGGCTGCTCACGAACTGCTGTTGCTCAGAGCTCAAACTCTTGAGCAAGCTCTTAACCAACTGAGCCACTCGGCCAGCCCTCCCTTCAGAATTCCTAATGGATGACTGTTGAGCCTTTTGGATATCTTCAAGATTTTCAATGTATCAGTGCTACTATGCAGCCCTTGCACAGAATTTATTTCAGAATTCATGTTTGTAATTTCCAAGAACTGGTTCTTACTCTGTGTTGCTGTTCAAATAGTTTGTGTGTGTGTGTGTGTGTGTGTGTGTGTGTGTGTGTGTGTGTGTTTAATGTCTTTGAGGGGGTACTCTTATACTAAAGTTCTTCTTTGTTCTTTGTATTTTTTTGTTTTCAGGATCATTTGTTCTGTTTGTTTACCTTGGTCCCACTCTTCCATGCTACTGATTGTCCTTAAGTGACTGGTAATCCTTGGTTATCCATTTGTATTTGTAAATGAATGACTGGTAGGTAGCTAAAATGGACTCCTGAGCTGAGTAGCTCTGTTTTCTAACAGGGTTTGCAGAGGAAGCTTCACTGAGTCCTCTGTAGGTGGATGGGGTATGTCAGAGCCAGCTTCCTGTGGAGTGTCAGTAAGGCCAGGCAAACTGGATAACCCCACTATTATTAGAGTTAGCATAAGGACACTTTACTGTGCGGTTAGAGTTCTTTATGGGTGGAATGTCCCTGTCCCTTCACCCAAGCCTGTTGGGCAGGTCCTAAGTAACCTCATACTGCACTGGGCTTCTGTTTCAGGCCTAAACACCCCCCTCAGGCAGGCTGCCCACTCTTTAAAGAAAGCAGTTCTTTGGGCTTCCTCTGGAAATAAAAGCAACGCTGCCAAATGTCCCGAATAAGAGGAGAGGAAGGAGCCCGCCTGCCTAGCCAGCTCTTCCAAGTTCATTCTTTAAACTACTTTGATGACAGGCCCCATCCCGTCCTCTCTGCATTTGGTTGAGTCTAAGCTAGGAGCTTGTTGGGAATTCCCTTTGGAAGAACTTCACTTACCTCTCTTGTCCTCTTGTCTTGATCTGTGGTGTTCTCCTCTTTAGTTTTCCAGCAACCTGAGGCCCCTTAGTTTCTTTATCATAAGGACTTCTTCAATATTACTTGTCTACTAAAGGCACCACCTTTCTCATTTTCCAGGGCTATTTTTTGTTTGTTTAAAATATTTATCTCAGAAAGCAAGGGCAAAACTGTATGCTCAGGTGCCCTCTTGACCTGGACTTCTAGTATGGGAAACTCCCTTTCTTAGATCAAATTCTTAATTGCCTCTCATAAACCTAAGAAGATACTGCTTTTACATTTTAAAGCATTCTCTGGTGAATTTGGTTAGATTGTGTTTATAAGGAAATGTGTCCTAAAAAGTCATAAAACTACATGCAATATATTGGCTCAATTTCTATGTTTAATTGCCCCGTTACTATTCTGGTTGAAAAGGGGCAAACTTTAGCAGCAGATGAATGTGGAGAAACAGATTTTGGAGCCAAACAGGTCTGGGTCCCATCAGCCTCTGCCATACATGATTTCTGAGAAGTTCCCTAGGGCCCCAGTTTTCTTGCCTATAGAAAGGTATTGGTACCAACAGGTAGTAGTACCTGCCTTGATTGGTTTTTGCAAAGACAAATGAAATAATGTGAGAAAGCAACTACTATGTACATATAACTACACAGTAAGTTCTTAGAAAATGTTAACTTTGGTATTATCCTTGGTCGTCTGCCATCTTGACACAGAATTTCAGAAACAATCTTCGGTGTTGGTTTAAAGAAGGCAAAGAGACCTGGATGAGTAATGTATTGATTTTGTTAACTGTTGCATTGGAAAAAAATCCAGACATTAAATATTGTGTAGGGATTGCTCTTCAGTGTCCCTGTACTCTAGGTCTGTCCCTATAACTTGTTTCTCTGGGGGGTCATATAAACAGAACTCCCCAGAGACTTGCACAGATGGCTTCAGCAGAGGAGTTCTTTGCCCATTACAGGACACAGTCATTTCAGAATTAAAACAAAACACCCCACTGATGCAATATGCCGAGGAACAAAGCATAGAAAAAGGAAGGTAGTAGAGACATAAGAGAACGGAGAAAGGTGGAAAAGGGGCAATCCTAAAATTGACTAAATTATTTGGAAAATAATTTGTTTGATAATTTTAGAAGATGCAGCAAATTATTACAAACAAAATTCAAAGAAGCAAAGGAACTTGAAAAGTAATAGTTATTGTTTACCAGTAAAAGTCATTTTGTCTAGTAAAAGTCAATAAATTCCTGTCTGCCTATCATATCAAGATAACTCAAGTTAAACTACTTGTAGAAAGAATGAAGATTATTTAATGATAATGCATTTAATGTCAGCCTTTTAGAAAGAGTTTGAATTGTTTTTAAGCTACTTACAATGTTCTCATTTTAAGTCAAGGAAATGTTTAAAAACACACACCATCACCACCACCACCAGCAACACACATGCACAGATAGCGTGGTAGCGATTTACTCCCTGAGGGAAATAATATGGTCTCGGGAGCCTCTGGGATTTAGAAAGAAGCCCTTTCCAAAGAACAGATATGATGCAAACACACTGTGCCTGACTTCACTGAAGAGATAAAAATGGAAGAAAACATTTCAAAGAAAGTAGAATTCAGGATCTTCTATGCGCATTTGTTATTTGATTGTTTAATGTACTACCTTTAGAAGAATTGCTAACGACTACACAGGTATACTAAAAACTAGCATTTTGTCTAAATTGCAGGATGACCTATCACAGTTTCTATCCGGGAACCCCAATCTCAGTACAAACAGAAGAAAGTTGGCTTCAAGACTTGTCTCGCAAAAAGCAGTCTGGTGAGTAGTTTGATGCCTTAGCTTTTGTTGGGAGATGGGGTGGCACCCTGGAAAGAGTGCAGTGTCGGCGACCAGTAGATCTAGGTTTGAATCACAGCCCCAACTAACTCTGTGATGAATGGGCAAGGTACTTAACCTCAGTCAGCCTGTTTCTTCACGTGTTGGCAATAATAATACTGCAGTCACAGGTTTGTTACGCAGATCAAAATGAGATTAAATATTTAAATTCCTTGGCACTTTGTCTTTAAAAAATGGTGACATCTATGTTCACATCAAGAAATAATCTGCCATTATATATATATATATATATATATATATATATATATTTATTTATATATTTAAGATTTTTATTGGGGAATTGGGGGGATGGGAACAGTGCTGGGGTATCGGGGGAAGGGGAACAGACAAGTTGCTGTCCTTTTGTTCTTCAATCTAGTTGTGGAGGACGTTGCTTCACTGGCCCAAGTTGGCACCATCATTGCGCTCTTCCCGGGCAAGGCAGATCAGTCGCCGGCCTCTGGACGGTCGCTCATTGTGGCTGCTGGCCGCTCACACTGGTTGCTGGCTACACAGTAGCCCATGGCAACCCACTGCAGCAGGGGATGCAGCCTACACCATGGCTGGCGACTCACGGCAGCCCAGCTCCAGGTTGAGCTGTTGTTCAGCATCTTAGCTGTAGAGGGCAGTGTCACTGGCCCTAATATGTGGGATCCGAACCAGGGCCCTCTGGCGTCCCAAGCCAGTTCTTTTTTTTTTTTTTTTTTTTTTAGCTGAGCCATCCTGCTACCTGTTGGCAGCTCAGCGGCTGCTCAGCTCGGGCTGGACTCGAACCGCTGTTGCTCAGAGCTCAAACTCTTGAGCGAGCTCTTAACCAACTGAGCCACTCGGCCGGCCCCCCAAGCCAGTTCTTAACCAACGCGCCACTCAGCCGGCCCTGCCATTATATTTTGATGCATATCTTTATTTTCTTATTATACAATAGAACTAATACATGCACACTGTTTTTCCAATGTCAAACCATTAAGAAATATACCATGTAAAAATTAAAACTTTCACTTATCCCAATATAGTCCTCAGAAGTAATCTTTATCAATAGTCTTTCAAGTTTTACATTTTTGTGTTATATCACATATTCACCAGATGCTTATTGAGCACCTAGCATATGCCAAAGCACCTATCACAGGCCAAGCCCTGTTCCAGGGACACAGCAATGAACAAAACAAACAAAACCCCTGTCTCGGTGATCTTCTGTTGAAGTGTGAAAGGTGGAGGTGATGGAGAGATAAGTAATACAGAAAATAAATAAATATATAATACATTAGGTGATATGCGTGCTAAGGAAAAAAGTCAAGCGGTTAAAGGAATAGAAACTGTGGGACGGGATGGGGTGCAAGCTTACACAGGGTACTCAGGGAAATATTCACTGCGAAGCCAAAATATTTGAGCAAAGACCTCAGAGAGGTGAGTTGAGTGAGCCACATCGACCTCTGGGGGAAGAGTGTTCCAGGCACAGAAAACAGCAAGTGCCTCCTGGAACAAGGAGGCAGCCAATGTGGCTGCAGTGGAATGAGTAAGGAGGAGAATCCTAGGGTACAGGGTCACAGAGACAAGGAAGACCAAATCTTTCTCTACGGGAATGAAAAGGGGCGTCACTGGAGGGTGTGCACAAAGGAGTGATACAACCTAGTATAAAAACGGAACAAATATTAAAAAGATGTTAATTGTTACCAAATAAATCTCTATGGTCAGTGTAATTCTGATGGGATTTTTCAATGGCATTTGACAAGTTGATTCTTCCATCTTGTTTGGCAGTGTTAAAAGATAAACAGAGGCATTTTCAAATGTTTAAGAGTTGATTTGAACAAACATTGATGCAAACTGTGCAGCAACCAGACCAGAAGTGTTTAGAAATTTCCACTGACAAGAGCTAGAAGAAAGGCTTTTATAGAAAAGACATATAGGAACAGAAGACTGGAAAGGAACAGAAATATTTTAAAATGTGACACATTAGAGTGGTGAATTTTCTGTTTGTTCCTTATTGTTGATAAAATGTTATTTGGAAAAAAGTCAAAAAATAAATAAATAAAATACATTAAGGGTACTTATTTTTCCAAGAGGCATATTTTCTTTTATATTAAACTTCTTTCCTACCCTGTCAGGATTAATGACAAATATACACTCTTTTTTATACAGAGCAGAGAGCATCCACTGTAATGAAGACAACTGAACCTGTAAATCTGGCTTCTAAGTTAAGAGGTGAATGGATGTGCAGAGTCATCCCTTCTGCTGTGGAAGGCAAACTGCTGTTAGGCCCCCACCTTAGCCTGGGCAGTGCCCATACCCCTTAGAAAAGCCCTCCCTGCTAAGAACATACACAAGAAGGTGGTGGAAAGGTAGGGCATTAAAACAGTGTGTGTGATGGGCTAGGATCTCCAAACTAGACAAAATGGAATACACTGCACAAAGATTTTAAACTTCCCTTCTAAGTCTCTCCTTTTCTCTTCAGAAAAATGGGTAATTAATCCAGAAGAGCCAAAACTAAATATTTTATGTGAGCTAGAGGTAAGAAATGTGTATCAGTCCAACTAGTACACTGTGCTCATGGTAAAAATCATGTATCTTCAATTTTTTTTTCTCTCTCTCTTTTTAAAATTCAGTTTAAGGAAGACTTCGTAACACTGTTTGAGCCTTCTCTGAGAACATTACCCAGCGTCGGGCCACCATCCATTCTGGCATTCAAACATGAGAGTTACAATTTAGGCATTATCTTCAAGGTGATTATAATACCTTTTTATTATTATTATTGTAATAAATGATGTGAAAAGCTACGTGATGATTTGCACAAAAGACAGTGAACACACTTTTAAAAAGAACAGGCAAAGAGCCCATTTACTTAAATAGCACTCAGACAGGATGGCTATACTAGTTTCCTATGGCTGCTGTAACAAAGCACCATAAACTAGGTGGCTTAAAATGACAAAAACTTGTTATCTCACAGTTCTGAGGGTTAGAAGTCCAAAATCAAGGCGTCAGCAAGTCCGACCTGTAGGGGAGAATCCTTCTTTACCTCTTCAAACGTCCGGCTGTGGTCGTCAGTCCTTCCTCCTTGGCTTGCTGCAGCTGCATCACTCCGATCCCTGTCTAGTTGTCCCAGTGTTCTTTGTGTGGCTGTGTCCAAATGTGTCTCTTCTCCAAGGACACCAGTCATATTGGATTAGGGCCTACCCTAAAGACCTCATCTAAACTTGATTACATCTGCAAAGAGCCCATTCCTAAATAAGGCCACAGTCACAGGTACCAGGGGTTAGAATTCAATATGGCTTGTGGAAGGGCGGGGGGAGGACACAATTCAACTCGTTACAGTGGCCATAAAGCCTGGAAACATAGGCAGAACATAGGTTTGCCATATTTGATCAGGTTAAGTGACCAATTAATGCCTATGCTTGATAGGCAAGGGAAAGGTCACCTCAGTAATTCCAACAGGATGGGACACCACCCTGCTTCACCAGAGTGGTGGGGCGCTGACTGGTGGAATGATTACTTCCAAACTTGCATGTTATGGCCACGTGGAGAGAGCTGCATGTCCTCTCCCATCTGCCCTTTAGAACCCCTTTGGTTACTTCTTCTGGGTGCACTACAGGTGCAGGCTTATTCACTGAAAACAAGAGACCAACCTGTGAGCGCGCTGCAAGTGTGTGTGCAGGGGGTGATGGGAGGGCTGCATGGACGCGCTCACTGACATTTCCAGCAGCACGTTGAACTGTGCAGTTCTGAAGAGGGCAACAAACACATTAACTACAGCATACAATTTATTTATTTATTTATTTATTATTTATTATTATTATTTTTTTTTATTATTATTATTTTTTTTAGCTGAGCCATCCTGCCACCGGTTGGCAGCTCAGCGGCAGCTCAGTTCAGGCTGGGAATCAAACCGGGGACCCTGTTGCTCAGAGTTCGCATTCTTGAACGAGCTCTTAACCAACTGAGCCAACACAGCATATAATTTAATATCAGTCAGCATTTACTGTTTATATTTGCCCAGTTTCTAAATTTTATGGTCACCCTATAGACAATTCAGGTGGAAATTCTTTATTCAAACATAGCACCTTCCTTTTTCAGAATCACAAAGGCTTGCATCCAGGAGCTTCTTGAGCTTTCTTCCCCTGACATCCAGAGATGGGCCTGAGCATGAGGAAAGCCTGTGGTCTTTCTTCCAGGAGGTTGTGCCTGCACTGGCACCTGGGCAGGGCTGCCTCCTGCTCTTCAGACAGACCTCTGAGATGGGGCTTTAACACTAGCCTAGTTTGGGGGCAGCAGTAGCTGGCTTGCCAGCTCGCCTCTGCAGCCATACCCTCTTCAGGTTGATTTCAACCCCACTCATGGTCTTTTGAAGCAGCTCCAACTTGCTTCATCCTTGGTAAAGAGGTAAAAGGACCACGGGCTGAGAAGTTCCCTGCTAAAACCCTTGTACGGAACAGGCTGCAGATGGCCTGGCATTGTCAAGTTCTCTTTCTGCCCTCCTGCATCACTTGGTAGTCATCTGAGAATTTCACCACCATCTCTGTATTACAAGGCTTTATCAGCCCCCGACCAAAGTGTTCTGCTCTCAGCTGTACTATTGCAGAGGTTCAATGGCCTAAAGATGTTGGACTTTACTCTGGGATGGTGAATCCCTGGCTGCACTGGCCACCTCAGTTGCCTTTTGGCCCCACAGTGGCCATTTTGCCAGTCCCAGAGAATGGTCCTATGGCACAGGCAGATGCCGTGGTGGCGTTCATGACCTGCAAATCATGATCTGGGTCTTCTCCCGGAGGCCTGTGCTGAGGTTTGGCTGCTCATCGTCATGACCTCAGATCTCCAACATGGCCATAGTGCATCAATCCACCATGGGTCACCTGAGCCTCTCGCTCCAGCTCTCCCTTTTGCTTCCCCTGGTCCTCCCCTCCCCCTCCTGAATTACCTTCATAGCCCAGACAGGAGAATCCAGGGCCCCAACCTGGGCTTCTCCTTGAGAAAGGACTCTAATTTATTTCAAAAAGTTTATCATTGTAAATAATGGCCTACATAGTAATGTCAAGGTGTTTTCTTAACTGACACTTCTTGAAAGAGTTTAGACCATTTGCCTAAATCTGGTACGTGTTATCCTCTGTCTCCCGCATGTAGTTACACACTGTATATCCCCCCTCCCCAACAAGGGACTCTGATGTCAATAATCATTTCTGAAAGTTTCTTCTTACACTGAGGAGGCATCCCAGGACCCACCAAATAGCTCCTGATGGGCTCAGCTCTGCTCTGGTGACCTGTACCATACAGAGACCCTCAAAACACCACCTCAGCCTCTCAGTCCTCACCAGCTCTTGAACAGAAGTGATGTCTCATTACTGGAATATACAGGTCTTGCTGGCTTGGTGCTTCTAGCATAGGATCAGCCCCCTGAAAGTTTCCCACAAACTATTTCTGGGAGTCCCCAGGGTGTCTGACAGAAGTCCTCAAGTAGGTTACCACATCCCACCACCCCTGCTTTCCTATTGGACGTTTGCTAGCCCTGCCCAGAGCCAGTGCTCCTACTGTTCTCAGTGGCTCTTGTGGGCATGTCTTCACTTTTTCTTCCCTCTCTGCAGGAAGAAGAGGAGGAGATAGTGCCCAAGTGTGAATTTTGTGGGAGCAATCTAAGAGCATTTCTTTCCAGTGTGGATGTTTACTCTCAACCAATAGGATATGTAAGTTCTAAAGCTGGTTTACTGAGGAAATAATGTTATTTTTAAATACCACTTTTAAACATATGCAGTATTTTCTCCTGCATTGCCATTCTTAAAAGTTAAGTGTTAGCCATCCAAGAAACACAAATCATAACCACAGTGAAATAGTATTCCATATCCACTAAGATGGCTAGAATCAAAAAGACAGATAATAGCAAGTGTTGACAAGGATGTAGAGAAACTGGAACCCTCATACACTGCCAAAGTGGAATATAAAATGGTGCAGCTGCTTTGGAAAACAGTCTGGTAGTTCCTCAAAAAGTTAAACATATAAACACCATATAACCCAGCAATTCCATTCCTAGGTACGTACCCAAGAAAATTGACAACACATATCCACAAAAAACTTGTACACAAATGTTTACAACAGCATGATTTATAACAGTGAAAAGGTGCAAACAATCCACTGCCTTTCAACTGATGAATGGGCAAGTAAATATGGTGTATCCATAAAATCAAATATTATTCAGCCATAAGAAGAATTGAAGTATTAATACATACTACAACATAGCTGGACCTTGAAAACATTATGCTAAGTGAAAGAAGCCAGTCACAAAGTACCACATATTGTAAGATTCTGTTTATATGAATTGTACAGAATAGGCAGATCCATATAGACAGAAAATATATTAGGGATTGCCGGGGGCTGAGAGGAGAGGAGGATATAGGGTAACTGCTAATGGGTACAGGCTTCATGTTCCAAAATTGATTGTGGTGTTGATTGCGCAACTCTGAATATACTAAAAACCATTGCATTGTAAACTTTAAATGGTGGATTATATGGCATATGAATTATATCCCAATAAAGCTGTTATCAAAAAAAGGTTATGATAGATTCAAACCCCATTAGCTATTTTGGGGGGTTTTTCCCCCTTTTAATTATCTTTATCTAGACTGATGAGATGAAAATGACCTCTTTGTTTTTTAGGCCCCCTGTTGTAGTTATTTCCAAAATCTGCTCGAACACATCTATGAGGAAAAACAAGAAAGCCAAAGCTCTAAAGCTGAATTAATCTCCATCAAGCCTCATGCAGGCTATGGCAGTGAAGTTGACAGACTCAAAGAACAGGAAAAAGCCTTGAGGAGGTAACGCGGGAACTTTGATACAGAAACTCAGATAGACCTCCTTAATTAGAGAGCTTTTTGTAAAGTGAACCTTGTTTTTCAAAATACATAATTTCAAAGATGTATTCCCAGTGAAGAAATAAAAACTAACCAAAGCAAACCTAGTACAATTCCTGGTGGATGTTACGAGATTCAGAAGCTCGAAGAAATTCAGTGAACTTGCAGGTTCCAAGTAGCAATGTACCAATCCACAATCCTCAGGGCAATTCAGAATTGCTATATTGGAGAAATGTGTCCACGAAACAGACCAGAGATGCATGTGCTCTGATTAAATGGCTGGATTTACACGTAATAACAGATAAAAATAACAAGGGATGGCATTAAAACGATTAAAGTTTGTAGTATACTGTTTTAAGTTTGAAATGCATTTCAGATTTACACATCATGTTTGTTTGTTTTTTATTTTGTAGAAAACAGGAGCAAAAAATAGCCAAATATTTGGCAATAATAACAAATGAACACACTAGTTCCCCTGAAGATGGTAAGTTCAGCAACGTTGATGTTATACATGAGTTATACATTATTAGTAAGCTTGTATGTTTTACCAAAAACTAAAATTGGCATATTTAAAAAACAATGTTTAACATTTTTTTTTTTTTTTTAGCTGAGCCATCCTGCAGTGGCAGCTCAGCTTGGGCCGTAAATCGAACTGGTGACCCTGTTGCTCAGAGCTCACACTTCTAAGTGAGCTCTTAACCACTGAGCCACTTGGCCAGCCCCACAATGTTTAACATTTTAATTTCAGTCAATGCTTCAGTCAAAATGGCTCAGAAAAATCTGATATTTTAAGTCATCTGTCTTTGGATGTTTTTAGTCTTTACCTCATTAATGATTGAAATAAATGAGCAAGATCTATAGAGTACTTTACGGTTAGCTGCAAAGAGCTTTTGATTTCATTGTCTCTTGTTTTATTAAGTACACATTCCATATTGTTTTCAAGCTGGGGTATGTAAAATCTGTCAAAAATAAATCAGATTCTTTACCTCATATATGGGTTCCATCAGTCGGCTGGCCAGTATAGTTATAGTGCTGGTACAGTTGAAGGAGCACTGATTTTAGAATCAGAAGTTCTGGATTCATATCCTTGCTTTTGTCCTTTTAGGCTCTCTGATTTTAGGTAAATTACTTAATCTTTCTGAACATTAGGCTCCTTCTCTACCACTCAGAGCTATTAAAAT